CTCACTGGCTGAGCGAGGCGCGGGGGCAGCGCCGAGGGTTGCGATCCCGTTGCCGGTCCTGGTCCGGTACGGGGGCGACACTGAGGGTTGCGATCCATTGCCGGACACGGAAAAAAGACAAAAAAAAAAAAAAATAGGTACATATAAATTTCTATAAGTTTCCAGAAGAAAAGAGATTTTCATAATTAAGACTACCAAGGAAAACTTCCAAGTGGAGGTGTTATTTGACATGAAGAGAATTTTGAAATCAGGAAAGGATTATCATTAAGCTTATAAAAAAAAACCAACTTGCTATAAAAGCTATAAAAACTATTTCAGCTGTACTTCTGCCTCTTAATATATTTTCATCTGAATAAATTTTAAGTAATTAAATGACAATTTAGATGGCAAAAATAGAAAATGTGAGAAGTTAATAATTTTTAAGATTCTGAAAATTCTTCAAGTTTTCAGTAAAGTAGAGGTAGATAATTTCAGCTATTCATTTAAACTCAGTTTTCATCTTATTTAAGAAAACCATAGTCTTTTGTTTTTCCTCTTTTTTTGATAGCTATTGTCGTATAACTTTGTGGAATACTTGGGTTCTTGTTTCCATGTAGTAGCAGTTAGCAACAGTTCTGAATTCGTGTCACTTCTGTGTTGGTAAATGTAAAAAATGTGTCTATAGATCAGGAATAACAAGTGGCCTAGTTGGTTCTTTAGCTATCTGCTGTTTATATTTTCTTTTCATCACAAATCATGTACGACTAGATTTAGCATTCTCCATTATTACAAAATGAAGCAGAAGCACTTGAGTCATTATGATTATGCGGAGGAAAACATACTGACTCAGAGAGATAAACGAACAAAAACATTGTTTGCAGTACTTAATAAGGGAAAGATCAGAAAGTAATAAATTGTGTCCTCACTGGCATAATCACATTCCCCTTGGTCTTTAAAAGCAGAATGGTACATGTAAAATTTGGGAGTGGGGGGACAAAAACAGTCAGAAAAAAAAATTTAAATGTGGCATCTTAGTAAAAGCTAGTTTTTCTTGTCTCTGTCCTTTCTAAAGAACCAAACAGGTAGCTTGCTTACTTGGCAAGACTGTAATTAATTTAGGAAATGGTCATGGCTTTTTCTTCTTTATCTTAAAGTAAGTTTTGCCTTTAGAAATGGAAGTCTCCTACTTTCCC